TCAACGATCCGTTTAATAATCGATCGTGAACCCGAAGAATCATCATCGGTGATTGTTTTGATTCGAAGCGATGAAACCGATTCAATCTCTTCCCGGAGTTTCCATTCCCGGAGTTAAAAACCGTCCTCGTCGCCGTCCAGACCTTACCTTACCTCTTCCTCAACGCGACGTTTCACTCGCTGTACCTCTCCCTCTCCCACCGTCTTCCGGCGGCTCTTCCGCACCGTCTTCAACCGGATCCGCGCCGTCTTCTGGTGGTTCATCGTCTTCAACAACTTCCTCTACAAACTCCAACAACAGCTCATCGGAGACGATAAACTACTCCGATTTAGTTCGTGGTAACCGGATCGGAAGCGGAGCTGGTGGAACAGTTTACAAAGTCGTTCACCGTCCGAGTTCACGTACCTACGCACTCAAAGTAATCTATGGACACCACGAAGATACTGTAAGACGTCAGATCTGTAGAGAAATCGAGATTCTACGCGATGTGAATCATCCAAACATTGTGAAATGTCATGAGATGTTTGATCAAAACGGTGAGATTCAGGTATTGCTTGAGTTTATGGATAAAGGTTCATTAGAAGGTGCTCATGTATGGAAAGAACAACAATTAGCTGATTTATCTCGTCAGATTCTTAGTGGTTTAGCTTATCTTCATGGTCGTCATATAGTTCATCGAGATATCAAACCTTCGAATCTGCTTATAAACTCTGCTAAGAATGTGAAGATTGCTGATTTTGGAGTGAGTAGGATCTTGTCACAAACTATGGATCCTTGTAATTCATCAGTTGGTACTATTGCTTATATGAGTCCTGAACGGATTAACACCGATTTGAATAAAGGTCAGTATGATGGTTACGCCGGTGATATATGGAGTTTAGGTGTGAGTATTCTTGAGTTTTATTTGGGGAGGTTTCCTTTTCAAGTGAATAGACAAGGTGATTGGGCGAGTCTTATGTGTGCTATTTGTATGTCGCAACCACCGGAAGCTCCTCCAAGTGCATCGCCGGAGTTTCGGAATTTCATTTCTTGTTGCTTGCAGAAAGATCCAGCGAGGAGACGGAACGCGGTTCAGCTTTTGCAACATCCTTTCATTGTAAGAACAAGTTCGAGCCAGAACAGGTCTCCTCAGCAGAATCTACATCAGCTATTG